CCTGACAGTTTTCCTTGTCAGTTTATTTTCACTGACCCTAAAGTATGAAAGTATCTTTACTTCCTGATGCCTCCATCGGAGCGAGGCAGAATGGCTTGGGTGTCAAGCCAGCGCTGGGGGTGGGGGTGGGGGGTTGGGTGGGGGAGAAGCATGGGAGCAGACCGGCTGGCCAGGGCTGGGTTATAACTTTTTCTGCTTTTCTACTTTGTAGCAAAGCTAAGGACCTCTGTCAGGGAGGTCCCGACCGGCCCTCAGTGGACGTCCTTGGGGGGCATCCAGATCTTTTTCAGTCCACCCTGGAGGCGGCCCCAGCGGGTCCCCCAGCACACACACACACCGAGGATCTCCAGGGCAACCCAGCATCCCCGGTGTCCCGAGAGCAGGAGGATGGACCAGGGGCCGCGGGGGGCAGCGCCGGCCCCTTTCTAGAACCCGGCCCCGCCCGCCTGGCCGCTGCCCTCCGGGATCGCCCCCGGCCTCGGCCGGCCTCCGCCTGTCCCCCCGCCACCCGCTCGCGGCCCGGGCCGAGTACCTTGAAAGCGATGGGCAGGGTCTTGTTGCAGCGCCAGTGCGTGGGCAACACGGAGCAGAGGAAGTTGGGGCTGTCGGTGCGCACCAGCTCGCCGGGGTGGTCGGCCAGCACCTCCACCATGCTGCGGTCGCCGCTCCTCAGCTTGCCGGCCAGGGCGGCGCCGGCGTCCGGGGCGCCCAGCGGCAGCGCCTCGCTCATCTTGCCCGGGCTCAGCGCGGTGGAAGGCGGCGTGAAGCGGCGGCTCGTGCTGGCATCTACGGGGATACGCATCACAACAAGCCGATTGAGTTAGGACCCTGCAAACAGCTCCTACCAGACGGCGACAGGGGCGCGGATCTTCGGCGAGCAGCTCCAGGGAGACCAACATACAAGTTCAGGGGCCTTTATTGCTGCGGGGGGGGAGGGGGACTGGGGGAGGCGGGAGACCAAGTTACTAACAGTCCAGGAGGGGGAAAGTTCTATTATGCCGGCCAGCCTCAGACCCGGCAGGGCTCCTAGCAACCGACCGGTTAGTGCTTTAAAAATTGGGCGACTAGAATCCAGAGTCAAATGCCAAGGGAGACTATCTTCTGAGTCTTGCTTTGAGAGTTTAACTTCAGTCTTTGGCTGTTAAAGAAAGTTCCCGGAGGCAAAATTCCCATACGCTTTCTAAAACATTTATACGGAGAGCGAAAAGACCAGCAAATACATAATTTGGAAGTTCCAGTAGGTAATCGCCTGTCAGTTTTTTTTTTTCTTTTTTACTTGTTTGCTTTTGCGGGTGAGTTTTGTCTAAAGTCCTAATACGACACAAAATATACGAGTGTCTTCCATATACAGAGCCACTCTCACATGCAAAACTGGCTTCGGTCCTCAAAAGCAAGAGCTGCGACTTCCAAAGGTCATGCTACTAATGTATGTGCACGTATATATAAATATATACATATGCTCTACTTCATAAAATATTTACAATTCAATCTGTAGAGAATTTAA